TTTATACTTGCAGTTTACGAGCACAGCACAAAGATACAAAAGGCTGTTAATATCAGCATCACAAGCAAGAACTCGTAAATCCTTGACGGCGAGATCATAACCGTTCTGAGATTCAATGGATTTGTTACGGAAATTCTCTTCCATCACAAAAGAATAAAGAAACTCTGATTAAGAAATTGAAAATCTGATGATAATGGTAAGCTAATAGGTTGACTTATATAGTGTGAGTTTCAAGAAAGCTTCTGTGAAGATTGGAGCTTAAAGGCGGCATGAAAAAGGCAATACCATAAATCAATTAATTATTGAAGCACGGTTGGCTTAGTTTTGGAAACAGAATCTACCAATGGTTTAATTATTTTACTTTTCAATCAGATTTCTCCCTAAAAAGTTGGAATGACTAAAGTTTACATAATTAATTGTACTTTAATTTAATATTTAAAATACACATAAAATATGTAGAACATATTATTCGTTTGTTGCTATCTGACATTATTTAATTTTGACAGTTTTTTTTAGTTATTTTTTTTGTCGAAGCGGTGAGGGTAAAGGATGGAGCTGTTGAAGATGATAAATTGGGATTAAAATATAAAATATAAAAAGCAATGAGGATTATTTTATAATTATAGTTAAATTAAGAAAATATGAAAACAATAAAAATTATATTTATTATTATTTTAATTATTAGACTATCACATCATCGATTCGTCATATAATCAAGATTCAATAATTGTATTTTAAATAAATTAGGATGACTCTTTTACTATTTAACGACGAGCATCATTAATTTAATTTATAAAAATATAAATTCATAAAGGCTCATCGTATAATAATAAATTAGTTAATATTTTAAAGATAAATTGTTTAAAATAAAGGGTAAATTATACCAATGACCACCTAACTATTGTCCCTTTTTATTTTGACCAATATTTTTGAAATTTTGTTAATTAGGTCACTCAACTATTTAAATGCATTCAATTAAGCCACTTGCCGTTAATATCTAATGGAGAAGCTCATGTGACAGTTAAAATATTTGGTATAATTACACATTTGGTCACTATTACTTATAAATTCTATCCATTTTGTAATTTTAATAAATTAAAATAAATTTAACCCTCAAATCTTTATTTTTAAAAAACTTTAAAAGTTACGACATATTCTATATTTTTAACAAAACAAAATCTATGTTGCTTAGACATTTCATATATTTGTTGAAATATTCGTATTTGATAAGTTTTGTGGGTAATTAAATTAATCCATGTTCATGTGATAATATTATGTTCTAGTAAGATAGGCTGTAATTAGAGTTCGTATTTTGTTCTATTCAGACGAGCTGTAATCGAGTTTGAATAGTGATCGGTTAAATTTTATAGTTTGATTTTGAAAATTGGCTTGAGTTTCAACCCCTTTAATAAGTTTGGCTTAGTAATTGCACTCCTAATTGTAGCAATTCGTGACATGCATGTAGATTTGTGCAACAATTGTGCTTCGGTTGAATAATAATTATTTGTAATTAAATTAATCCATTGACGGGATGCTTTTGAGAACCATAAATGGAATTTTTAATAAAAATTTTGTATTGTTATAAATATAGAATATGTCGTAACTTTTAAAATCTTTTAAAATTAAAGATTTGAGCGTTAAGTTTATTTTAATTTATTAAAAATTTAGACCAAATTGATAGAATATATAAATCACAGTGACAAAATGTGTAATTATACTAAATATTTTAACTATCACATCAGCTTATCCGTTAAATATTAACTTAAGTGGCTTAATTGAATGCATTTAAATAGTTGAGCGACCTGGTTGACGAAATTTTAAAAATATTGGTTAAAATGAAAATGGACAATAGTTAGGTGGTCATTGATATAGTTTACTCTTTATTATAAATAATTTATCTTTGAATTTTTAACTAATTATTGTTGAGTCATTTAAAATTTATTTTTTTAAATTAAATTAATGATACTCATCAAACACTGTATAATTTTTTCGTCTTTTATCACTGATGTCATTTAATAAATTTATCATATTACATTAAATATTTTAAAAGATAATTTATAATGATCTAATATTTTACTAATACGTCCGAATTTATTTGGATAAACCCAACATGATCATATATTTTTCAATATCTAATGAGTTAATTTGGGGTAAATACATTGTATTATTTTTTTAAATATAACTCTTAAACCTTACGATATTGATCATTCATACCCTTGACATCTATGATGCTCGAACCCCGGATCCTCAAAGAACAACAATGATTTTTTTACCATAAAAGTCACTCTGTTTCGTGCTATATTTCCTTTTTATATATATTTTAAGTTATAATCTATATTTTAAAAATGTAATTTATATATACCTAGTATTCTTGTGTCATAATTATTAACTTGAGATAAATTAACTATCATCGCTTTTTTTTAGTTTTTTTAATTTATATTTAAATAAAAATTATTTTTATTTTGATATTATTCTTTTCTTATATTCTTTAGGACTTTTTTTAATAGAATCAACTAATTTATTTAAAATAAGAAATATCTCAAATTACAATAAAGATTTACGATCACAATCGTAAATTAAACACATAATTAAAAAAATTCCTATAATTATTTAAACAAAAATAATAAATTAAGATCACATAAGAACCATATAAAGAAAGATTAAATATTATCAAAAAAACTCAAACAAAGATAGATACAAACATATTGATCGCATAGGAAAACAAACTTCGAAAGAGAATCAAACTATTGAAAGACCACCGACAAAAAGCAAATCAGACTCGAGCGACGTGAAAAGATATCCACGAACGCAAATCGGGTATCCAAATCTAATCTGATAGTCCAAATCAGGAAAGATCACAATGTATCAGATAAGCGCCATATTGTTCAGTCATGGAGATGTCAAATCAACCCCTAGAAAAAATATAAATTAAAAATGACCAAAGAATCGAATAACATGCCAAAAAACATAAGAAAATGTGCTATAAAGACAAATAAAAACGTGCAACACAGACAAACTTTTGAAAATAAAAAAATATACAATATAAAAAAGAAAAAGAAAATAAAGAATACCGCCACCTATCAACAAAGAAGAAAGAGAAAAGAGATGAACGACACACCAATAAGAGAAAACTAAGTTTTTAGGGGTTTTCAATTTAATTTAGTATTTGGGAGTTTAATTTGTTTGTTTTTATTTGTTCAAATATTTTTATAGTACAATTTTTTATCGTTACGATATTTTGACATTCATCACGATGCATGTTCTAATCAAGAAAGATCAATAGTTTTTCATAGTTAAATTTCATTTTGTAACAATTTATCTATATATTTAGAACCGTTCACGAAGTAATATGTTAGATTGATTATCTAAATCTCTATGTTTTATATTAGTATTGTGTTTAGGTTCAACAAGAGACAAGAGGTTATTAATATTTAGATTTTTTGTCGAAGATGAAACATGTATTCATTCAAACTAAATTTTTATTTATAAAATAAAATTCATCGAATCCGAATCAAATTATCTCTTTCGTATATCAATGTTTACATTGCACATGTAACTATAAAATTTGTAAGATTGACTAAGTTAAGATTGAGTTTAAAAACATTACAATTAAACGATTAAAAGAATCACTCAAAATTTCCTTTCCTCTGTCTTTTCATTCTTTCATCTGAATTATCCATCTCTTTCCTTCTTTGTCTTTCTCTATCTCTCCCTTTGAGCAAATTAATTAGAACAGTAATGTAATGTAAAAAAAAAAACAAGAAAGAAGTTAGGAAGGGGAAAGGCAATTCATGACTTATAAAAGCTTTTGCAATGGAAAACCCAGATTTTGCTTTGCAAAAATTGGTGTTCCTATTTTGAGTTCAAATCGAAGAACAAAGCTTTGAAGAAAAACATAGGGTATCAAGAGGAAAAAAGATTCAGAAGCTATGGAAGGTAAAGTTCCTCATTCTCGGATCAAAATTTGGAGTTTTTTTTAACATTTGTGTTAATTAAGGTTTTCCCTTTTGGCTTTTTGGTATTAAGGTTTTTTTTTTTGAAGTTCCTCAATTGTGAGTTCACTGTAACATGGAAATAAACTTGCATGTATGGAGGAATGTTTGGGCAATAAACCTAGCAGCTTTTGTAAATTTGCTTTTTGGCCCCCGGTGGGTTGTTGTTTGGTTGTTGGGAAAATGAAGAAATGTAAAATTCTTGGCATGATTTTTGTTTCCATAAAAAAGGTTATGATTTTCTTCTTGAATTGTAGTCTTGTTTGCTTTAGAGTATTTTTGTTTTTAAGTTCTATTCTCAACGATTTAATGTTGTTTAGGGTACATTAGAGGGAAGTGCAAACTGGGGAATGGACTAACATTAGAGGGGAAGTAGAACATGTTAACAACCGCTAAGACAAGCCTAATGTGTGATTGTTAATGCCTTTTCATGTGTAGTAAGTTGTGTAACTATAAATTACGTGTAGTGATTTAACTTAACCTTCAAGCATTTGCTTCTCTGGTGTAATTATTTTTACTGGTCTTTATTGATATATACACATGGCTTTCGAGCTAGCTGTTGTTAGAACCCGTGTTTCCTTAAGTTATGGTTTAGGACGAACCACGGGAATTTCCGGTTACGAAAAGTGTCAAAACCAGAGGTACTTATAAAAACAAGAGTGAAATGTCAAGAACATTGCATGAGAATGCGAAGGTGTATATAATAGCCACTGCTGAAGGAATATGCTGAAATTTCTGTTCAACACCTAGTAATTTAGATGAAGTTTTTTTTTTTTTTTTTGCTTTTTGTTAATCGGATTTCCCTCTTCCTTGTGTTACACTAATTCATGTAGTTGTCTCTTACCTGTTGTACTTAATCTCATTGATAGAAATGTATCAAGCATACTTATCCATGATGGCGCTGATTTGTATCAGTGACATAAAACTTATAAGAACTTTTAAACTATTTTTATCTCTATCATGCTTAATGCCATCATATCTAATACATTTTATGACCTCTTTTCAATCATGTTAGATTCGGGTGATCTACAGACTGAAAAGAATAAAGTTTCTGTAGATGTTGTGAACAAGAAAAGAACGCTCAAGTCACAAGCCCAAGTGTGGGCTCTCGAAAATGCCTACAAAGGTAGTAAATCTTCTGTTTGCATGTTATTTAAGTGTTTCCTTTCTTAGGTTTTCAAAAGAGTTTGGTTATTTTTCCAGAGCAAAAATTTCCTTCGGATGAAATGAAAGCACAAACTGGCAGTACAGATTGGGTTGACAGAAAAGCAGATATCTAGTTGGTTTTGTCACAGAAGGTTGAAAGACAAAAGGAGAGATGAATCCTATCCTAAAGGGCGACAAGAACATTCAAGTGGTGTTATTCAGGATCGTGTTAGTGGGCTCAGGCAAGATTCTTTTGGCAGTATTAAGAAGGGTGATTATAGGAATATTGATCCAAGAGAAGTTGAAAGTCGAAGGATTTATGGCCAAGAGTTTCATTCTGCTGACCTCAAATACGGGCGCAGGAGTCATCAAAATACATATGATGACCATATGGGGTATACATCTTCTGAAAGTAGTTTGTCTTTACATGATCAGCCTTTTTCTGAAAGTATGGACCCTTGTGAAATGCAAATTTCTTCTAAACTTACTGAAAATAGAGCAATTTCAAAGATAAACCCCAGGATTGGTAAAAGCTTTGGTTATAAGCCATCAGGATATTTGAAGGTTAAGGGTGAAACTGAAAATCCTGCTATCACTGCTGTGAAGAGGCAGATAGGGAGGCATTACAAAGAAGATGGTCCGCTACTTGGTATTCAATTCGATCCACTTCCACCTGGTGCATTTGAGTTCCCAAGTAGCAATACAGTCAATGGTAAGTCCAGTATTGAGAGACTTGTCTTATACCAACTATTTTCATGATAGTCTTTTCGATCCTAAGCTTGGAATCTAGAGATTAAGCTGCATAGAAGTGTTTCACAAATATATTTGAAATATTGTTAGCTCGCTTTCAAGATTCTTATCCATGTTGCAGGGACCCAGGTGTGAGTGTTGGATACCGGTATGTGTCCAACACTGGTATATTCAATTATTTCCCAAGCTTTTCTATATATTTGAAGAATCATTCCCTGTACTCATGTCCGAATATGTGCCGGACATGGGTACTCCAAGCAAAATGAAGAGTCCAAGCTGTGTAGATAAAATCTATAAATTAACAGCTGGGAATTGACAATGAAATAGGATAGATAAATTTGAAACTTAAGTAGAGGTTTTTCGTGAACAAAGACATGCTTGTCTAAATGACTGCACTAATGAGAGAATAGCTAAATAGGCGTATCTGTGCCATACTCTTTCTCCTTTCTTCTGTCAACCTTCCTTTTGTCTGCATGTGTGTGATATCTTTGCTTAATGTTGATCGGGCATGTTCAATCTCGAAATATTTTCATACTGCACTAATGAGAGAATAGCTACTTAGTCATATCTGTGCCATACTTTTTCTTCTTTCTTCTGTCAGCCTTCCTTTTGTGTGCATGTGAGTGGAGCCTTTTTGCGTAATGTTGATCATGCATTTTCAATCTCAAAATGTTCGAAACCTCATTTGTATTTTCTATTTATTTGCTTTGGGTAGAACCAATATGCTTCGGAAATTCCCGACAGACCCATTATCCTGATATCTCTGGAGTTATAAAGCAGCCCAGCCATAACATTGTAAGTGGAGTCTGTGATGCTTTATTTTCCCTTTTAGCATACATAATTGACGCCCAACCTATACTTATATCATAGATCTTTTAGTTGAACTGCAATACAACCAATTCCAACTCTAGCTTTTGACATTGCAGCTTGAAATGGCTCACTGTGATGCTTTGTAAGAGCATTGAGTGCCCTTTATTCTTGGTCAAGGATACATGGAAGTCAATCTAATCCATCAACTTAGAAGCTATATCAATCTTAGTTTTATAACAGAAACTCATATTTAACCAACTGGATGTCATCTCCTTCTCAAGAATAAGTTATTCAAAGTGATTGTCTTATGTCCTTTTTCTTTTTAATGGCCTTGTAGGTAGATGTCTATGATTCCAAGATTAGTTCTCAGGATTGTCATATGGAGGTTGCCAAGTCTATCACTGTGCATGGATCAGAAAGACGGGACAGAAAATCTCATCATCAATTAAAACATAAGTCTGCATTAGATATCGACAACTTTTCTGCCGAGAAAACTACTCTCAGTGATTGCAAACGAACTACAAGCTCAAAGCTTGCTGTAGAAAATACAGGACCGACTTCTTTTTCTAATCATCCCGGCCCCTATGGTGTGAAAACTTCCAATGAACAAGAAAAGCCATGGTTGCATGATGATGATAATCATACCTATAAGGCCTTAAAGAATGGAAACCTATCTAGAACTTCAAATTTGAGACATGGGTATAGTGTGTCCCCGTGTACTGAGAGAGGGTCATCTGCAAGGGTTGCAAAGGTGTCATATTTTGGCTTATTTCTGCTCACTGTTTTTATCATTCAGCAGTTTCTTGGTGAATGTTTAGTCATGAAATTGATTTGTATCACATAATGTTCAGGTTGAGAAACTTGGTGGAGAGTGGAAGACAAAAAAGGAGTGTCATGTTAGATTAAAAACCGATCTGAAAAATGAATTGAGAGTAAGTTCACGCTTTAGTTGGCTTTTGTTAAATAAGAATATCATGTATCGATGTTTTGCTTTTGACATTGCTTCGTATCTTAAGGTCTCAAAACAAGTCGATGTTCAATTTCCTCAACAAGATTGTATGGCACATGCTTCACATGCCAAATCGCCTCTGTTGACAAATCAGACTAAAGGGTTAGTATTTATGTGCTTTTTACTCGTTCCTCTCGTTCTATGTTATTCTATCTAAGATGCGAGTCTCGGACATAGGTATGTGTCCGACATTTGGGTTAATTTGTTTTCTATGTTTTTCCATGTGCTTGGAGAGTCCTTAATGTGTGTGTATCGGAAATTTCTCAGACACGGAATCTTTGAGAAAAATGATTGGCTATCGGAACAATATTAATGTGTGTTAGTATGCATTTCAAGTGATGAGGAAAATGCAATCCGATCGTCGTAGTTAGGCATCCTACCAATCTAAATCCAGTTTTGTGTAGGCTGAGGACGTAAACAGAACGGCCATAAACCTTGTAAACTAGAACATCTTTGTTATTAGTGAAAAGCTTAGCGGATGGGTTGGGGTCTGAATCCAAGCATTTGCAGCTCTTCCCCTATCCCATCTTTATTACAATTTATACCTTTGAAACTGTTTAATATCTCACCTAGATCTTCCATTGATGTACCGTCTAGCTTCAGTGAAGATGAAGGTGCAGAAACTGATTCGTCCACGGATTGACAGTGGTCGGTGATACATATGGTTAATGGATTGTACTGCTTAATGGGTTATCTTATGACTCAAGTAGATATGCCAGTATCGACGCATGCTTTTGTACAGCTTGAGAGAAGTTTGTCTTCCATGGTACTGACTGGAAAACACTGGTATGATCATTAATCAATTTTGTTCATTGTATATTGTCGTTAAAAAAAGATAGTCTCTTTTTTTTTGGATGAATCTCATCTAATATACCATTTGCTCCTTCAAAATTCATATCAATTAAATTAATGATCATATCAATATGGTAATGATTAATGATGAAATTGATCCTACAAAAAATTTAAATTGTGAGGAGATTTACTCACTAGAATCAGGTGTGCAACTCAATCCGAATTAAGACAATTTTAGAATCGAAAGGGCAACCAAAAAAATAATAATCAAAAGTCATTCGAAACCTTTAATTTTTTTTATGATTAATTAAAAAATTAATATTTTTTCTAAATAATGATAAGTCCTCTATTTTGTCCATTGAAGTAAAAAGAGAGAAGAAACAAGTAAAGTTGGCCCAATACTGTTTATGGGTTTTTTATTTAGCCCAATAAGATAAGTAAGTTTATTTTGAGATTTACAATATTTTTTATAGTAACATGAAACTCGTCACATTGAGGTGATGAGTTCTAATAAAAAAATTATTCAAACTTTTTATCTCAATATGATATATTTTAATAAAAAATTATATTTTATTGAAATCCCGTTTGAGGCGAAGTTCCATGAACATTGTGTAGAAAATGTAGATGTCAAAATAAAAACTAAGAAATAGAAAATCAGGCCCAATAGCTAAAGTTGAACAAGCCCAACAACTTAAAGCCGCCAAGTCTCTCACTAGGTAAAAGAATGGGATATATAATAAACACACAGATAAGCAAATGGCAGCCATTAATATAATTTTGCAGTCGTCGTTGACAAAATCAATTGTTTAACCGATAGTAATACTTCTAGACTAAATTAGAAGAGAAAATAACTTCAGTGACCAAAAATCTCATATAATATACGATTTGAACTAATTTTTTCCGGATTTGCCAAAATGACCAACAAAATCGCAATGCGATCGCTAATTCGCAACGCGATCTCCATTATTGCAAATTCGCGTTGCGATGGTCTACAGTGTTGTTGCGATTTTCCCAATTCGCAATGCGAATAAGTAAATCGCAACGCGAATTGAGAAAATCGCAATGCGATACTGATTATCGCAATGCGATACTTACTATCGCAATGCGATAATACAAAATCGCAACGAGATACTGACTTTCGCAACGCGATTCTGACTTTCGCAACGCGATAATACATAATCGCAATGCGATTTTCAAAGCGCCATTAGTATCCTAGCCAAGTATTTTATTTTTAAATTCCAAACACGAATATTAATATATTGGAACACTGAACCGTCCACAGTATATCCCGTAATCGCAACTCATAACCTAAAACCTAAAATCACAACTCAGTCTCATCTCCATCTCTCACTCTCTCACCCATCTCCGACGAAATCCATCCCATCTCCGACGAAATCCGTCTATCTCCATCTCTCAGAGCCACCCTCACAATCAGAAATGGAAAATCAACCAAATCAACCAACGAGGGTTATTTTTTTTTAATTATTTTCTTTTTAAAATTTTTGCATTATTATTAGGTTTTTCATATTGAAATTGATGATAAGTTTACTGGTAATTTCAATAATAGATTAACCATTTCACTTAGATTGCTTATTAAATCAACCGAGAATCGCAACGCGAAATGAAAATCGCAACGCGAAATGAAAATCGCAACACGGTTTTAGTTTCGCGTTGCGATTCTCTCGTTGCGATAGTCAAATTCGCGTTGCGATAGTCATTTTCGTGTTGCGATTTTCATTTTCAGAAACTATTCTTCTTCTGCAAATTGAAACTTGAATGAATTGCATTACTTCAACCAAAAAAACAAAGACAAATACAAAATTCACAGTGTGCAAATTTAAGTTTGAAGAATAAACTACTACTCTTTATGTTTATTATTGTTTTGGTATCTTCACAGTGTAGTTTTGGGTATATCTAACTTAGTATGTTTATTGTTTTATAGAACTTTTATCGGCTCAATTGACCTTAAGAAATAAAGTCAGCCTGGCCAAAACAATTGCGTCGAAGCTTTCACCTGCACAAAGAAAAATGTTTGAGGATACATGCTTCGGGCCATGGCTGAAAGTACAACATCCCGGTGGAGATGCGATGTTGACACACCTGTTTCTTCAAACCATGACTAGCGATCTACCAGAGACTATACAACGTCGTGATGAAGAGATATGATTTGATTTTCCACCGGCGTATACGTGTTTTGGGCGGGAGGAGTTTTTCTTAATCACCGGTCTACGCTTCGGACACGATGATGTAGGTCGGTACACTAGACACATTACCCGCCCATCATGGCTATCCCGGATTTTTCTTGAGCTAGAGAGGCCGAATCTACACGTAGAAGACCTGACAAGATTGTTGAAAAAGAAAGATGGATTTACTCGGATGGATGACGTCGACGTTGTCCGAGTATGCCTTCTAATTCTTTTGCATGCCGGCTTTTTAGGCAGAGAGGCCAGACAACCTATTCCAAATGATCTAATCAAATTGGTAGAAGACCTAAATGCGTGGAACCTGTTTTCGTGGGGCTCGTATTTATGGAAAGCTACATGGAATAAGTTCGTCTGCCTTGGATGATCGAAAAAGTTTGCATGGCGATGGTTCCAAATACACTTTGACAGACTTATTTGGGCCTTTAAGGTAAGAATTTTTATATATGTTTCCAAAATTATAAGTAATTATTTAACAATTACTAATGTTTGTTATTATTATTTGTAGATTTGGATATTTGAGGCATTTCCCGCCATGAAGACATATGCAATAAAAACTTCAAATGATATTCCCAGGGCTATTTCCTGGAAGAGGAAACGGACCTTGCAATGGGAAGATTTACTACGGTATTTGACAATAAATAATGTAAGTTAACATAAATACTACCATATGTTTATAAACAAGTTATTACTAGTACACGTTTAACTTTGTTTGAGCTTTTATATTGTTAGGAGGCCAACATTCCTCTACAGAGGCTGACACCCACGGAAGCTGAGCTTGCCACTGATTGGTGGCAAGCTAGTAAGCATTTTTTTGATGGAACGGTTGATGAGCAGCCTCCACTTCGGGAGCCATCACCTCGCCCAGAGCTATCACCTCACCCAAAGCCATCATCTGATCGACCCGACTATACACCTCCACAACGACAGCCATCACCTATTCTGTCACATCATCGAGCCTCTTCTCCACCATCACCGCAAGATAGGCGACCGGCAAAGATGCCACGACGTTTATCTCCCTGTTCTCCACCTCCACCTCAACGGGATGAGTTAGGGGAGTTACGTGATGAGATCAATACCTTACGTGAGGAGGTCGGTACTTTACGCAAAGATGATGGTGCATGGCGTGTTGAGGTGCCTACATTACGCGGTGAGGTAGTCGCTCTACGTGAGATGGTAGCATCGTTGCAGAATGAGGTTCATACTCTACGCAACGAGGTAAGTTTAAGATTTTTCATACTCGTAATTCATTCGGTTGCTGCCAACTGCTAAACTGTTTTGTTAGTATTGTTTTGGTTTTGTTTTTGTCTTTTGGTTGAAGTAATGCAATCCATTCAAGTTTCAATTTGCAGAAGAAGAATAGTTTACTTTCGCAACACGAAAATGACTATCGCAATGCGGAAATGGCTATCGCAATGCGAAAAGAAAATCGCAACGACAAAATCGCAATGCGAAATGAAAATCACAACGACAAAATTGCAACGCGAAATGAAAATCGCAATGTGATTTGTGTTTCGCGTTGCGATTTTGTCGTTGCGATTTCATTTCGCATTGCGATTTTGTCGTTGCGATTTTCATTTCGCATTGCGATTTTGTCGTTGCGATTTGCATTTCGCATTGCGATAGCCATTTCCGCATTGCGATAGTCATTTTCGCGTTGCGATTTTAAGTTTCGTGTTGCAAAAGTAAACTATTCTTCTTCTGGAATGTTTATATATGTTGTCCTTTTAAATGTTTATAAGTGCTTACTTCTGGAATGTTATCTGAGCATTTTGTGAACTATGAGAATAATGACTTGGGTGAATACAATGCTAGTTTGAAACATATTATATTTTTTTAATATCATGTGTTTATTACTGATTTATGTATTAATTTTTTTAGCGGCCCGATAAGGTGGATGCTTTACGTCGGGTTTTCCTTGCACGACGGAGTTCACGCATCAGACGGCGTAGACGTGCTATTACGTCTCCGTTCACCCCAATGGTGCGAAGACTCCGCAAGAAGAAGCCTGACTCACCTGTCATCCCTCAAGAGTCCCCTCCAATCGTTCAAGAGGCCCCTATCCTCCCTCAAGAGTGCAGAATCAACAGTGGAGAATCAACTTGGAGCAAGATATGGTTTCATGACGTCTAATATTGCAGAATCAATCAACGCTCTAAGTCGTCATTCCCGGAAATTACCCATTACTATGTTAATGGAGTTTTTTCGAGCCTCTATTCAACAGTGGTACTACAAGAAAAGAAACCATACAGGTATTATTTCTTTGAATTCGTAACTTATCATATATTTTACTAAGTATTATTTATTTAAATTTACAGGAACATTGGAACATCGTGTTACACCATGGACTGAAAAAAAGATAACGAAACGTATTGTGAAGTCAACGTCATGGAGAGTTGAACCATGTTCAAACACTTTGTTTGAAGTACTGGATAATAACTTAAATGGGCTTGTCGATCTAAATGCAAGGACGTGTAGTTGTATGAAATGGAAAACATCTGGTTATCCGTGTGGCCATGTTATAAAAGTTGCTCTTCATCTAAACCAAGATGATTCAAGTACATACGCTATGGATTGCTACAATACAGAAGTATATCGACAGACTTATGCCGAGATTGTCTACCCTATTCCACATCCTTATGAGTGGGACATACTGTAACACCCCCAACCCGTATCCGACCCGGATATGAGTTCGAAGTGTCACATTGACTTTTCAAACCTTGACTCTTAAGAAAAATCCCGGGAAATTTAAAACTTTATTTAAATCAAAATAAAGACTTTATCAGAGTGATCGT